TGCCAAAGTCGGAATATTGTCCGAAGCATCCCCACCAGCAACAGAGGTCATTTCGACTTTGTCACAATCCTTCACATCCTCAAAAGCTTTACCTGATCGAACAGAAATATTTTGAGTGCCCTCAATTCCAAGGTCTTTCTCCTTGGAGGCTCCATTATGGACGCATTTCTGAGAGACATTTGCCTCAGATCTGGCGTCACCTGGTGAATCCACCTTTCTCAGAAATTTCATAATCCCAAGTTGTACTTTGGCATCTGCATTTTTCTGACCAAAACAGCCAGAGGGAATGGAACCTGACGGACCAAGGGCAATATACATATTGATGGTTTCTTGGACATCCTTTTCATCGTGGCAGAAGGTAATTCGAGTGAACCCTTCGCCCAACTTAGGTAATTCTTTCTTTTGCAGCATCCGATTCACAACTGCAGCAGCTTTCCCACCTTGTAAGTTGCCCTCGTGCCCATTCCTCTTCACAGACCGAGAAATACAGAGCTTGGCAGGAAGATCAAGCACCACAGCATGCTTCTCAACTTGAGGGCCACCAAGCTTCAAAAAGTCTGCACGTTGCTCTCTGTCAAGGTTGCATCTGTCTATAAATACACTTTTACCATCCTTTAATGCACTTCCTGCACTGGCTAGACACTGGATTTTTGTCCCAGACTTGCCATTATTAATGGTGTCCTGAATTACGAATAGAAGGAAAAGGACTTACTAAGCCAACAAGAGAGATATCTCAAAGAATGTCAACAAAAAAGAATCTTTCGCCTACAATGACACATAAAATAGAAAGACTGGGTTTTTCTATATAGTATAGAATTGTACATAAATATAACAAGAATAAAATTCTCACCAAAATTGACTACAAGCCACTTTATTAGATCTTTTGTACAAGCATTACAAAGGGAGTTAGATTCAGTAAAAAAAACACTTTACTGAACCAATCAATGGTATAGTCCATAAACTCATACACGTTAAAAAATTATAGCTCATAACTATAAATCAGGACAGGAACCTGTCGAAGCAATTCAGAAACAATTCATCAGTATACACATCCGTACGAAGAGATAAAATTCAAATCCATTCACTATTTCAGCAAACAGTTTGTGCCCATATAAATCTACCTGGCAAATGCGAGCCCAGGGCCGGGGGCAAGTCTTCATAACGTGATCACAGAAAGTGGATTTTCCACTTCCGGGTGCACCCACTAGTAACACCATAATAGGGTTTAACTTCCCCTTTTCTTCTTCTTCCATATCTTCCCCATCTTTGAAAAACAATTACCAAAAAAAGAGTTTCAGAAACTCATTTCATCATATTAAAAATTTCGTTAAATAATTAGAAAAGCGAAAATGGAGAATAACATACGCTTCCGAGTGATTTGATCTTGAGACGTACTTCCACGATCAATTTCCATAGCTCTTACCGTCTGATTCCAGTAGGAAATGAAAATATTCGTTCGATGGCGCACCTTCTAAAATTTATGTAATTATTATAGGTGTAGTTTTTAAATGAAAAGCGTGTTTAATGGTCAAGGACGAGTATTGCCTTACAAATTTCTCTCTTTCTAATTATTTAATGGTGAATAGCGTCTATTTGCATTTTTATTGCCCAACCCCATTTTCAAGTTTCTTTTTATTCCCATTTTTTAAAATACATTTTTTTCTTTTTTCTTTTCAACTACACATTTTTCAATAAAATAATATCATACACAATTCAAAAACTTTTTCTTTATTTTTAATCACGTATTTTCCATCAATCTACCATTTCAAAGTACATTCTACACAAAAATGAGCTCAACAAACCCTTAGTATAAAATACATTTCGTAATAGTAGATTGATGGAGAATGTGTGGTTAAAAATAAAAAAATTTTTTTTGATTGTATGCAATATTATTTTATTGAAAAATGTATGATTAAAAAGAAAAGAGAAAAAATTGTATTTTAAAAAAAATGAAAATCAAACAAGGACTTATATTGCAAATCACTCCGAGAACAACAATTTATTAATGCATGGAAACAAAGAGGCACACATAGACGAGGGCTAAGGGATCATTTAACAAAAAATAACGTTATTTAGCACTAATGATGTTAAAATATCAGTTTAAATGACACTAATATGACATTAAATGAGAAATATAAGTAAATGAATCACTTAATTCTACTTTTCAATAAACCTACCACTTAGTGCCACCAAGAATGATATTTTATTCATTGATGGAATTGTCAATTGTGACCAGTATATTATATGTTGGATGTGATTTCTGGTCGCTGTATAGGTTGATCTGATGCTACCGTTAGTGAACAATGGTGAACAGAGGTGGTTTTGTTTATGAAAAAATCAAATATATTTCAATAAAGATAAACAACCAGATCTTACACTTTATAAATATAGAGTGTAAGTTACAATCACTGTGACTGAGTGCAGGTTATCTAAATTTCAATGTTAAAATTACATACATGTCTTTAATCTTCAATTAATTATTATATTTTGTTTTTAATGATCAATTTTTTTTTTCCAAATATTCTGCTAACATGCATTGAACGGAGGGAATAATATTATGTCAAACTTTTGAATTTGTTATGTATTTTGATTATTTAAAAATACGAGAGACAAATAAATCTTCTCACACCTTCTTAACGAATTTTTTT